TCCACATGCCTTTATGTTTCAACCGTGTTAAGGCGATCCCATTCATCTGAGGCCTCTAAAAACTTGTCTTTTTCACCCAAAGATTCATTTTTCTCACACAACTGAGAGTCTTATTGGGAAATCTCTTCTTTTAAGACTAGTACCTAACTCTCCTTGTTCTAGATACTCTCCCTAGTTTTCAATAACTAGTTTTTTACACAATCCTTGAAGACACTCATTCTTTTTAGAATTCTTTGACTTGGAATTGTGCAAGGCTGCTCAGAAATAACTAAATACTCACTCTGGCACATTACCATTTTTTAAAAGCCTTGTTTACAACCAGTGAAAAGAAAAATGCGGACATCAGATTAAAAAATAACAAAGACTATTAAAATGGAATAAAGGTAGATAGATAGAAGTCTCTGAGTACAAATTATTCTGAAAGAGCACATAATCAAAGCACTTTTTCTTGCAAAATAATTTCTAATCCTCTGATTTGTACCTGGATTTGGAAGCCAAACAATACAGCTTTGCAAAGGCTGAGAAATCTGCTTCCCAGGAAATTTCCTCTCTTTTCTTTTTTCCTCTTCAGCCAATGCCTCGGACTACTAGCAGTTTCCTTGAAATCTGAGGAGGAGCAGAAACTGGGTTGCCTGTCTCTGGATATTGAAGGGAGCCCACACACATCCCTGGCTGTGCTCTCCCAGCACTTTCATGAAGGTGCCCAGGATTGCTCCCTCTGGGGACACCATAAACCATTTTCAGAAATGCCAAAAAGAATCCCCCCTCTCCCTACCATTTCCTTCTACGAACAAAGGAAGAATTGGAGTCCCTGATAGCTGGGGTTCCTAGGCCCACCTGCCAGTTGATTCTCTCCAGACGCTGAGAGTCTTTTCATGTTGCATGGGTGGATCGATGCAGAAGGAAAGTGGGGTTGCTTTCACTTAATGGCACTGAAATCTCTCAAGTTGATAAAACCTGCCTGAAATATTTTTTCAGTCAGAAGCTTTTGGCTCTGTCCATTTTCATACCCTAAATCTTGGAATCCTACCAGACATAGCCATTTTACTTGGCATATATCTTTGCTCTGGGAATTGGTGAACAATAGGACAGGTCTTGCAAATCCTCCTGGTCCTGTTCCCTTCTTTTTTTCTTTCTTCAGGAGGGTCTTGTGTTCTTCAGGGACGTGGCCGTATGTTTCTCCGAGCGGGAGTGGTCTCAACTGGGTCCTC